TCCATCCATCCATCCATCCATCCATCCATCCATCCATCCATCCATCCTAGGAGTTCTGTCTGGAGATCGGATAGTGGGCCCCCCCAAAGCGTCCAGGGAAAACCCCCTAGTCGATTTGGAGAAAGCCCCGGTCGACCAGTCTACCAGAGTCTACCCCGTAAGTGTGCGACGTCCAGTCTCGTGGGCCTCGTTCCGAAACGTGCTGGTTCCGAAACGGAGATGAGTCCAAAGGGCGGAGATGGGCGGATATTCTTAGACTCGAAACCACCCAAGTGGAAACTGGTCGGATGACCATCTTCCGAATACAAACAGCTGTGGTTTGAAAACCAGTCCACCTTGACACGTTCTACCAAGGCCATCTGCTGCAGAAGCTCATCAGCGTGTCCCCTTGCGGGACGCCAAGGTGGAGGAGGTGCTACTGGAGCGGCGAAGCGGATCCGACAAGCAAGCCGACCCTGCAGGTCAACGGGACCCAGTCACCCTATTCAAACATTCTCCAGTAGCCTCCAACCGCCCCTAGCGATGGCCTCCAACCTAGTCTCATGTCATCGCTTGCAGTGGATTCCTAAAAATTTTTGGATTTGGAGGGATGGATCAAGCTTTGGCTTCTCTGAATGCCGGAGTCAGAGAGACTAGAGCTTAATGGAGAAACATGGGCCTTGGGTCCTGAAGCCTGGGTCTTACTTGGGAACGTTGCAGAGATACAGAGTCTGTGTGCTCAGGTGGTTCAGTTTAAATTGGACAGGTTTCTTTGTTCATGAAGTGCAAAGTTGTTTGCTGACTGGTAGCAGTCTGGAGTGATTCCATTAACCCTAATATATTTATATTTATAGATATGTTTTAACTGAGAGATCACTAAATCTGACATCTGATTGAACAAGATGCAACATAAGATGAGTGCAACATATTTTACTGTATGATGTACGTGGTGCAGGCAGTGCAGGCCGTGCAGTTTTTGCGTCTTGATCGGTCAACGCTTTAGGTGGATCCCGTCCCTTCCAGGGCCTGGGATGGAGAGTCTGACGGACTCAACACAGACTGAACTGATGGACTCAACTGACGGACTCGTGACTAACCGGAGAGATGTTTGAGCCAACCAGTTGAGCCTTTCCCATCCCAGACTTTGCTAGCTCAAGGGCATCAGACCATGGGGTGCACCTCTAGCGTGCCAGGTGCCTCGTGCTAGTATCCTCCAGACCAATTGAGCGCTTTCTCCCTGGGTGGACAAAGCTGGCCGCCCAGGAATTTCCACGGAGTTCGCTGGCCACAAGGGCCTCCCAAAAAAAGCGTGGAAGAACAGGGCCAAGATGTACAGATGAATGTCCCTCGAGCTCGAATCAACATGGAAGACTACTTTCGTCACTTCTTCACTTCAGAGGTGCGAACAGGTGCTTTCTCCACTTCCATGGTGACTGCAGTTGAAAAGGATACCCTCAGGTCGACCTCATCGGACGTCATCCAGGGGTCACGTCCAGAATACGTCATGTTTTGACCAAAACTCCTGGGGTGTTGGGGAGTTCCATATTTTGGGAGGGACCTTAAAACCGGTGATCTTGTGGACCCCCAAAAACACCCCGCGTATCTGTGTTGCCCGACCTTCGCAGATGAAACGGACGTTCAGCAATTCAGGTGGAGGGAACAGACCGGGTGCTGAGATGTGCTGAGGTTTGAATTAAGCCGAACAGACTGGGGCGCCCTCCTAAGGGGAGTTGTTCAAGAACCTAGATGAACTTAGGCCCAGGAAACTGCCTTCAGAAGTGGTGGTCTGGCCAAGGTCGCCTCATGTCGCCTCTGCCAGGAAAACACAAAGGTATGCCTAATGGGTGGTAACCACGAACCTTCCAATGAGATTCCAATGGGTCACCAAGATGCCATATGGAATGTATATAGGACCGTCTTTTGGAAGGTCCAAGAGGCCATATGCCTACAACCAGGAGCCCTCCTTTGCTTCTAATTACACTGAATTCAAATTAAATTCTATAGCTTCTTATTGTTTCTACTAGCTTCTTGTTCCTAGTAGTAAGGCCCTTGCTCCTAGTAGCGATGCCCTTTGCTCCTAGTAGCGTCCCTTGCTCCTACCTCTACCTTTCAAGATTCTCAAAAGATCTGGAGCCTCCGACCAGGTCAAGGTCTTTGAACCCCCTCATGAGGGTCGTTTGAACCCACGTCTCTCGTGGGTTTCGGGTGAAGCGAAAAACCATCCGGATCAGCCAGGGATGAGCCAGGCAACTGATCCAGATGGAGGTGATAAAGGAATTGGAGCACCCCACACACTCCATGGGACTGGCATATGCTGCGCCTCGCCTCATTCTCAACGAACCCACCCGAGAATCACGCCTCGTGCCTCGTGCCGAAAGCGGTCCAGGTACTTGGAGGCCACGATCCCGGAGCTTTACACTGATCCACGCATCCGCTTCAACCGACAGGTGAAGGATTGGGGTGTGGAGTCCGGGATGCCCAGACCCCGAGCTGGCGAGCTGGCGAGCGAAGTCGCGGGACCGGTTCCGGTGCCACCGTCCGAAAGGCGGGCGACCCGTGTTCCGGTCCTCTATAGGGCCAGTGGATCCCAGTGGATCACAGGACTTCGTTTCGCCAGGGTTTCCTCCTTTGAAAAAGTCGAAGTGGAACCACTGGAACATACTGGAACCACCAAAAACCTGCTCTAAAGTGCTTTGCCTGGCAGATCCGAGCGATCCGCATGAGAGATCCGAGCGATCCGCATGAGAGATCCGAGCGATCCGTGATCCGCACCGACCGCTTGTTGCGGCCAAGGTACACCATCGACGTGGGTGATGAAGAGGTGAGTTCGAAACCGGTCGACGAGGGTGACATGCGGGCGTTGGATCTTCAAGAACTTGAGACATCGACTTCATTGAGAAACCGGCATTGGAAGGCCTGACCCCAGGTCAACCACTCCAACTGATCGGCAAATCTGGCAGTCCCATGGAGTGTTTGGGAGATGCCGAAAGCAAGCTCATGTCTCTTCAGAATGTCTGGGACTGCTTTCTACAAGCAAGCTTGTGTCCTGTCTGTGACGCTCGTGGTTTCGTTGCTCAAGCCACTCAAGCATCACGATCACCTTTGCGATCTCAGAAGAAACCAAGGCCGCGCGAGGTGGCTCCCACACGAGTTTTTTTTAAGGCCCGCCACCGCCAGGAGTGGCGCGACATTCTGCCCAAGATGCCCGAGTTAGCCAATTTCCAGGCCCGCCTGTGGCTCCAGCATCCGCTTGATTTGGGCGGGCGGGCCCACGGATGTCTGCACATGCATTCAGTGGCGCGGCAGCGACGTGCGGCGGACTTGGGGGGGCTCAAGGGTTGGTTCTGACGTTTCGTAAGAATCCGGACCCTTCAAATGGTCAATGGGTTTGAAGACGCCGATGGACCCCGGATCCCCGAAAGGTGTCGGGCGCGTTTTTCTCCGTCGGTGGAGAAGGTCCACGAATTGTTTGGGTCTGGAAAAGGTCAGCTGACAAAGTTTCTGTCTTTGGGGTGGACTCTTCTTGGGCCTCAATAGTTCCCAGCTGCACTGATACTCTTCAGCAAGTGCTTTAGATGAAAGCAAGTGCTTTAGATGAAAAAAAGAGACGCCGTTACCGCGCCACCCTGAAATTGGGTCGAAATCTGATGATTTCATGCAAGCAATCTTCACTTTCTTAGTGGGATTACCCTTCCACTAAGAGATCTCAGAGCTACATGATTTGGTGAAACATCCTCATATTTGATAGACGGCCATGGTCTGCCAAGCGACGTCCTGGTCAATGGACCATCGATTTCTTCACACATCGCGGGTCATGGCAGTTCATCATTTATTATATAATGCTATATAGGTATATATGTTATAGTTATAGTTATATTATCTAGAACCCATTCAACCTCTGTTTTGATACACAAAGACAATATTTTGGGGTTGGTGATTCAAAATTTGAGCTCACTCAGGCTCTATTTTGGTATCATTATATATATATATATTATCAATTATACTTGTTTATAATTGCATATTATATAGTCTGCATTAATAGCCAAGAAAACTCTTTAAACCAAGCACCTGTGACGACCCCAAGAGCCGGTCGCCGGTCGTTCTCCAGTTGCCGGACCACATGCTGAACAACAGCCGTCGTCAGCTGGAGGACGGGCGGTGGTGGCGGAGCACAGTCCCGGAGCACCGTCCCGTCCGTATCTACACGGGTGGGGGAAGTGACACAAATGGGTGTTTGGAGCGCCCCCCCTTAAGTGGGTGTCGTTGAGGTTTTGGCTTGAGGCGGGTTGAAAAAGCCAGGTTCAGAAAGTCTGAAGAGACATGAAGAAATCCTTTCTTATCGGATTTTCTTGCATGTCTTTTTGGTAAGCTCTACCTGTGAGGGTCAAGAATCTCAAAGTTTCAGTGTGGCTGAAATCAGCGAAACGCACAGAAGAACTGTTTCTGAATACCAAACCAGTGAGATCCTTTGCCACCTGTGGTGGAAGGCCAGACCGTCAGGAGAAAGAGAGACAGAGAGAATTATGATGAATTATTCACATGACATTTGTTCGCTCGCAGCAGGCGGGCACAGCATGGCACAGCATGGCATGGTTGGAGATTTTTCACGCTTCATTCGGGCTTGATGCAGTCATTCTGATGGACAACTCTTCTGTTGACACCCTCGATGTTCTCTCAGGATCAGATCTTTGTCGGACCGATCGATCTCATGGCGCCATGAGAGAACTGTTTTCTTCCAAGACCGGTGCACCAGAACCTCGTTCTGCATGTTTTGCTTCTTGTTTGTTTTTCAAAAATATACCTATAATGGTTTAATCTCCTTTTGGGGAACATGTTTTCAGGTTCCTTAAGCATATCCAAGAAGACCATCGACTCCAGTGTGCGAACTCAGCAAAACAGGGCCTGGCCCAATGTGAAATCTTTTGCATTCGCAAGACACCGCGAAGACCAGCTTCTCATTGAGCTCTTTCCGAGCGCCAAAAGATGCCCCGGAGTCTAGACTCGACCGGTCGCCAGGAAGTTCCAGTGCAAGAGAGGTACAGGATTCCGGATGAGAACACCAACAAGGAGTATGCGAAGTTCATGAAGAAGGCGCGGACCGTGAAGACGAACGAGGTGTTCCCGCGACCGACGACCTGAGCGATTCCGGCAGAAGACGAAGCGCCGAAGGGTGCGGGAGAGTCCGGAGGACCAGTAGACTGCTTGAGTCCAAGGAGTTGTCAAATATAGCCAATTGAACGATAATGTTAGTAGCAGCCAGTATCAGCAGTGAATGTATATATATATATATATCAGAGAATAATCCAGTTCCGTTTTTTCTGTTGGGACGCCCAATTGGCTCTCTAATCGTGTGTGCAAGAGAAGCTCCAATTGGTTTTCCTCAATTGCTTTGTGGATGGCGCACAGAGAAGCTCCACAGGATGATTGCGCAGAGAAGCTTCAGGATGAGAAGCTCGTCTACAGGTTTGTATAATTCGAGCGGAGATGGTGGGTCGAACTTCTCGGGTGAACACGGTGGTTGAACTCAAATCCATCGGCTGAACCGGTCGACCCGGCTCGACGCCTTCGGCGCAGGTTCGAGACTTCCAAGCGGACGAAGAGGCTAAGAAGGCGCAGTGCGGGCAGCTCCGGGCAGTCCGAGTGGTATGGATCTATTGGTTTTTGTTGGTCTTTGGTTTTTGTTCCATGTGGCAAGGTTCTCCTTCCATGGGACATCCAACCTGGTTGATGGATGGTAGACTGGTCTATGGTCCTTCTTCCAGGGGGGTCGTTGCCTGGGTGAATACACACCCGTATCCAACTCACATAGCATTCCACAAGTCTTGGGGATGTGGTTGTGGCATGTTTGAAGGGTACGGTAATATGATGTAATATGTGTATCTTTTCTATGAATTTGGACCCGGAGAGAACCTCATCAAGCCGTTTTGTTCAACATTCTGCCTTTCTGAATCTCTGTCCGGAATCAGACGGTCAAGAGCATAACCATGATTTTGCAGGTTGAACTTTCTCCAGACAAGGGTCTTGAGACCTGAAAAAGGCATCGAGGAATGAAGACATTCCTCTTGACTGAGAATGTGTTTCACTTGTGTCTGGTTGAACTGGGCTGATTTTTGGCTTTGTATTTTGGTCAGGGTTAGACTGAAACTCCTTTGTATTGAATACTCTGTCGCGGGCGCTTCCATGTCTGTGCTCAGATTCTTAATTATGTAATTACCAATCGCTATAT